CTGTCCTGATAAACTCATACTACAAAGTCCAAAAGCACTTCAAGTTATCAAATTGCCTTTGATTACTTGTCTAAATAATATATCAACCTTTCATCACCTTGAAGAAGAACTTTTAAGGTATTCCACTGCTGATATTTTTTCTCACCGACACTCCACCCCCAGCCTCTCTTTTTTCCTACTCTGTGTTAATTCAGTTTAATAATTGAATGTCTGTACTGTAATTCCTTCTTTTCTATGTATTTCTTGATGCTTAATTACATAGAGACTGAAATCTGAAATGAAAGATTGAATTGTATATTGTATTGAATATTATATTACTATATCTGTCTAAATGCATTTTACATCCAGGAGTTATGCTAATCCTATTCACACTAAATTTGGACTGCTTTGAGAAATAATTTGAAACTCTGCTAATCTAGTTGTGTTGAAGGCCATAGTTTCAGCTAGTGGAAGCATGGACAAATTTATACTTACAGCAAGAAATCTGTCCCAGAACTGATACAGTCTGACATCAATGAATGGCCTAAATTTGCAAACTCAGTAAATACTTCTAGGATGAGACTCTTTAACATGAAGTACACTGGCTCTTCCTGCAATCATTCACTAAATGGGTTTGTGCTCACATAGTACTTTGACCTATGACATCCTCACTAAAATAGCCAAATAAGTCAAGGTAATTTTTTTTTTTTTTTTTTTTTTGTGAGTCACAAGTCCTTTAAAGCCTTTTTTGTAACTATCAACATTTGGCTAATTTTCTGATCCGCAGCCAGGAGAAAGTATCCTGAGGACTGTTCTACAGTGCAGGTCCTCTTTTCTTCTTGCCCCAGTCAGAGACTGCTTTCTTTCATGGGTTCAGGAATAGTTAGCTTTAGAAATAGTTGTTGAATTTTCCCTGATGCGGGCTGATGAGGAAAGACCAGTCCAGTGGAACTGTCTGCATCCTTTCTTGGGGCCAGGTAACCTTTGGACTCTAGAAACTCTTGCAATATTTTCTTTTTAGCTTCGTACAAAGACCTTTCACCTGACTACGACAGCTGGCTACAAATCTAGCATCCCCAGGGCATTCCTGAGTTTTCTTAGTTGAGGATAAGATGGATATATCTTACTTTTATATTTACTGAGCTTTCAACAACTCCAGAATAGCAAACAAAGGCCTTCTTTACTATTACTCTTAGTATTATCATGAGCCTACTGGGAGGTTATCTCTGTATTCTTCTTTCATCTGTGTATAAAGAACTATATAGAAACGATTCTCATTATGAATAATTGAGTAATATGTGATGTCAAAACCCAGTATTTATGATGTAATAACTAATTACAGACAACTTCACAAGACAGATATATATGTTTGAGATTTTAGCAGGTGTTAAATTCAGTTACTGTATTGCAATTGGCTGCTTTGGATCTTTCTCTGATGTTATTACTAATCCTGATTAGTTTGCTTCATTAATATTTCCATTAATTTCTGATATCCAACATGAAGACAGTAGGATCTGCTCCCTAGCAAGTATGAGCATTAGCCTTAAATTACATACTTAAATTCATATACAGGTCAAATTCTGTAAAATGCAGTGCAAGCTGTAGGTAGTTCCATCCAGTCAATACTGACTCAACCTTTCATGCTTACATGTATAACACATTCCAAAAGAGATGTTGGTAATTTGTAGAGGAACAAGTGAGACAATTGTGATAAGCATAATCTGATAAAAGCTTCATGAAATAAAGTTTTAAAATGTGTCTGATATCACTTGAGTTCTCATTAAAGAAAATCAAATTTTCAGCCAAATGGAAAGAAAAAGATAAAATTTAAAAACTGTAGTTCACTGGTGGCTTTTTGTTATTATCTCTAGGGTAAACGTGACATAAACCACTGATGGACTGGGACAGCATTTTTTTATTATATTCTCCTCCTCTTCAGTCCTTCCTGAACTCTGCTAGCTACGAATCTCAAGGTGTAGCAGAAAGGAAAATGTTTGCCCTTTTATATGAAATCAAGAAGCAAATATGTAAGACTAAATTTAGAATGAAGTGAAAGGATAAAGAATTGCAAACATGCTGTTTAGTAACTCACAGCTAGTCGTGCAAGGCATCACATGACAAAATCACAATGAATTTCCTACAAATCACATTGACACTTTTTTACTGTTAGAGTAATTTAAAATTTTAGTCCCAGAGATCTGCTAATGTACCTGTCTTATCTGAAAGACATGTCAAAATTCACTTAAGTTTAAATATAGGAATAATAAAATATCTTCTCAAGCAAATACATACTTAGCTGTGTACCAGTACGGAACAGTTAGCTCTTCTGAAAATCTAGCTGCATCTTTATCACAATTGCATTCTTCCCTTTCTTCTGCACTTAAAAACTGTCATATCTTTAGGTGTTGTGTTTTGGTTCCTCCCCGCCCAGGTATTGATGTTCTGTGGAGCAATCTGAAATAGCTGCTTTTGCTACCTTTATCAGAAGGAATTGAAACCATGGATGAATAGAAGAGAGCTGTGTTCAGGAAAGGTTTGGAAACCCTTTAGTTTGATCCCCTCCCCTCAGCTGGAAAGAGAGATGGCATTACCTGGTGCTGTTAACAGTGTAGAGTCTGATCTAAACATGGTTTTAGCACCTCACTTTTTTGAAGTTGAGAAGCTTAAAGTTCTTAACATTGTGTGTAATCTGGTCCCTAAATACTGGATGTAGATGGATTTCCACATGTGTTCTGGAATGCTGTGCTGTTCAGCTGATCCTGTCCAATTAAAAAACCAAAACAAAACCCAAAACCCCCTGATCCGGATATGAAACTGTCTGAAGGCTAAGTTTCTAAGATGTAAAGAATACAAATACTAAGCTGAAGCCAATGCCTTGTAAAATTGTGTCGAAGTCAGTTTACTAGCGAAGGGCTGTATGTAGTGAATTTCCAGAATACGTGTATTTCCAGAAGTCTGTATATACATGGTAGTGTATATACATATTCAGAGCCAGGAGAATTTGATCAGCATCTTCATGAAACAAATTTCTGCATCTTTTGTGTCCATACCAGTAAACATATGTTGGTTGAAGAACAGCATCCAGCCTGAGCTTGTTGGAGGCAAAGACCATCTCTGAAACTATTTCCAGTATAGCATGCTGAATGCCTATAAAATCTGCCTATTGATTAAGCCATGGAACTATAAAAAGTAAATGCTGCTTGAGTCTTTTAATATTTTCATTTTAATCATAAGTGGAATTTTAAGACAGCTCATAACTTCAAAATTCTTACACTGAAGAGTATCTGGTTCTCCAAGTCTCAATGATTTTTAACATGATTACTCCAGACTAAAGTAATCCTCAATGTACTGGTAGAAAGATCTGGTCCTCGATATTTAGGATGCAGTCCACTGGAAATGTAATGTGTTTGCAATTTTAATTTAAAAATTATTTAAAAGGAGTAGCATGGCTTATAGCTTACTATAAAATTGTAAACAACTTAGCAAAAAAGATGTGGCATTCTCTTCCTCTCTTTAATCCATTTTCTTTTTTCCCTCTGAGTAAACCTCGTCCCTTCTTTCTCTTTATATAGACTGAGTTTTTAATGGTTCCTGCAACCATTCTCATGAAAAATTGGAGGGAAGCTGGAGTTGTATATGCAACATATATAGCTTGCTTTTCTTGTAATCGGGCTTTATTTCATGTGTCCATATCATTATGGTTATGATAGAAATACTGTAGTGGCAAGCATCCTGACTGCAGCTTTTTAATGGGATCTCCCTCTGTGCTCTTGATTCATGTAGATTCAATTCGCAGTGAACATCTAATTGCTGTGTTGTGATACTGTATTTTCCCTTAGCTTGACTGTAGTCAGCAAGAAATTATGGATAGTCACAAAACTTTACAGATTTCAGAAGCAAATAGGTGTGGCAAAAACATCTCTGTGTAGCAGACAGATTCAGTAAATAGCAATATGATAGGAAAATTCAGTTGTGATTTGAGTTCATCATCTTGAGGGGTTTTTTTTGAGACAAGATCTTTTATTTATTCCAGAGCTAACTTTTGTATCAGGAGTGGTTAAAACCTGTAGTTTATTTCTATTGTCTGATCCCAAATTTCTGGCTTAAAATTTTAGACCTGACCACAATAGACCACAAAATTTCCTTAACAAAAAGTCCAAGAAATGTAAATGGGGAATTTCTGGCTACCAGAGAGCTGCGCATGAGGATTTATTGGGTGCTCAACAAAATTAAGACCCTAAGGCTCATTATAGCCAGCCTAGATTAAAGGAATCCCCCATGTATCAGTGGTGATGAGAACAAAAAGGAGTCCTTAAGATATTTTCTTCCTCATTGCTTTCTATTCTGTGTACACCCTGCTTAGGATTCAGCTTACATGGTTAACTACACACACAAGAATACGTGAAATAACATCCCAGTGAGAAAGTGAATATTCCAAATATGGGCTTGTTATAGGAAGTGTACAGAGATGGACAGAAATGGCTTTCCCCCATATATTAAATGAGGTAATAAAACAATTACATTAATGTAGAATGGTGTAACAGGCATGCTTACAACTCTAAATGCAAGCCAGACAGTGAACAAAACTGACAGGAAAGGAATAAACTTTATGCAAGGCCCTGTGAAGGTTAATAACAGTTGTGATAAATAGTAAGATATAGAGGAACTGAACTGAAACTTGAATCTCTTTGCTACAACTAGTTACAGGCCCAGGTGGAGGATATCTACAAGTTTCTCCTTGTAATAGTCTGCCTACTTCAAGCCAGATAAATTAAGAATGAGATGCTTGGGAAAAAAAAAACCAACACCAAAACCAACACCCCACCCC